ACCTTCTCATCAACATCAAGAGCTAAGACTTCACCACAGTCGACGGTCTGTTGAGCTTGGGCCATTGCATTGGAATAGCCATCAAGGTCTATGGCTGCAGGGCGAGCCGAAAGGCTGTATGTTGCATGGTCCTGGCGCATTGCAGCCAGCCGGAGCTTGTACGAAAACCCGATGCACCGACTTCACTTCTGCCACCTAGTTATTATTGCTTTATTACCACATAAAGTAAAGCATTAATTATCGAAGGAAGTTTAGAAGTCAAACTTCCGACAGTATGGACAGATGAAAAGCAGAGCAGGGCAGAGGCAGAGAGAAGGGAAAAGATTAGAAGAGAGAAGAGTAGAAGAGAAAGAGTCAGAAGAAAGAAGATGCAGATGCGCAAAAAGGTAGGAAAGTCGCGAAACACTGTGTTTTTCCAATGATTTGTGTCTCCAGAGGGTCGAAAAGTAGGCTCACTAAAGCGGCGGGTGCGGAGCCAGCTGGCCAGATGAGAGGTGAAAAATTGCACGCCGTTGTGGCGCGAAGCATGGTTCGAAGTCAAAATGTACAAAGCACACCACGTTCGGACCACTTTTGGAAATTGAGATGTTGAAAAAGTGCACGCCGTTGTGGCTAGAAGCACATTTCCAAGTCAAAATGTACAAAGCACACCATTCTCGGACCACTTTTGGAAGTTGAGATGTCGAAAAAGTGCACGCCGTTGTGGCGCGAAGCACGTTTCGAAGTCAAAATAATAAAAGCACCAGGGGTTCGGACCATTTTTGGAAGTTGAGATGTCGAAAAAGTGCACGCCGTTGTGGCGCGAAGCACATTTCGAAGTCAAAATGTTAAAAGCACCAGGGTTCGGACCATTTTTGGAGGTTCAGATGTCGAAAAAGTGCACGCCGTTGTGGCGCGAAGCACATTTCGAAGTCAAAATGTTAAAAGCACCAGGGGTTCGGACCACTTTCGCAGGTTCAGATGTCGCTTCGCGTGGCAGGCGCAAGGGTTTGTGCACCTTGTCAAAAGTGCACAAAACGTGACGGTCTTGTAGCATTTTCAACTACAACCACCACTACACCACACTACACTCCAATACATTAGGCTACACCACAACTACAACTACAACTGCACCTTCACTACATTCTACTACACTGCACTCCACTACACTACACTGCACTCAATTACATTCAGTTACACTACACTACACCACATTACACCACACTACACTCCACTAATTACACTACACTACAGTACCTTCCACTACACTTCACTACATTACACTACACTACACTCCAGAACACTACAACTACAACTACACAACTACACTCCACTAAACTCCACTACACTAAATTACACTCCACTACACTAAATTACACTACACTACACTACATTACACTACACTACACTCCACTACACTACATTACATTACACTACACGACACTACCTTCCACTACACTACACTACACCCCACTACACTACACTACACCCCACTACACTACACTACAATACACTACACGACACTACCTTCCACTACACTTCGCTACATTACACTACACTACACTCCACTCCACTCCACAACACTACAACTACAACTACACAACTACACTCCACCACACTCCACTACACTAAATTACACTACACTACACTACATTACACTACACTACATTACACTACACTACATTACACTGCACTACATTAAACTGAATGACACTGCACCACAGATAGACAGGTAGACAGATAGACAGATAGATAGACAGATAGACAGGTAGACAGCTAGACAGATAAACAGATGAAAGAGAGAGAGAGAGATAGAGGGAGATAGAGAGATAGAGAGATAGAGAGAGAGAGATAGATAGAAAGAAGGAAAGAAAGAAAGATAGATAGATGGACAGATAGACAGACAGACATATAGATAGAGAGACAGCTAATAAAAAAGACAGACATATAGATAGAGAGACAGCTAATAAAAAGATAAATAGATAGATAGAAAGATAGATAGATAGACAGATAGATAGATAGATAGATAGGGAGATCGATAGACAAATAGCTAGAAAACTAGACAGCTAGATAGATAGGTAGATAGATAGATAGATAGATAGGGAGATAGATAGACAGACAGACAGATAGATAGGTAGACAGATAGATCAGTAGGTAGGTTGGTAGGTAGATAATCAGAGAAAGATAGAGAAACAGAGAGAAGAAGAGAGAAAGAGAGAGAAAGAGAGCAGACCTCAAGCACCTTTCGGTCCATCAGTGGCTTCGCTCTGCCTTCCCTGATTCACAACAACCAATCTCTCCTATAGGTTTCCTATTTTTGAAACTTCCGCCACCGCCTTGTGCGGTAGTTGTAGTTGTAGTTGCTGTTGTAGTTGTGGTGTAGTGTAATGAGTGTAGTGTAGTTGCAGTTGCATTTGTGGCGGTGTAATGAGCGTTGTGTAGTGCAATGCAATGTAGGGTAGCCTAGTCTAGTGTAGTGTAAAGTAGCGTAGTTGTAGTTGTAGCTGTAGTTGTAGTTAGTGCAGTATAGTGTAGTGTTATGTAGTTGTAGTTGTAGTTGTAGTGTAGTGCAGTGTGATTGAGTGTAGTGTAGTGAAGTGGAGTGTAGTGTAGTTAGTGTGGTGTAGCGTAGTGACATGTAGTGTAGTTGTAGCTGTAGTTGTAGTTGCAGGTGTAGTTAGTGTAGTGTAGCGTAATTGAGTGTAGTGTAGTCTAATGTAGTGTAGTGGAGTGTAGTGTAGTGTAGTGCAATGCAATTAGTGTAGTGTAGTGTAATGTAGTGGTAGTGGTAGTTGTCGTTGTAGTTCTAGTGTAGTGTAGTGTAGTGTAGTGGTGATTGTAGTCGAAAATGCCACAAAACCTTCACGTTTCGCTCACTTTTGGCAAGGTGCAGAATCCCTTGTACCTGCCACGCAAAACGACATCCGAACGTCCAAAAGTGCTCCAAAGCCTTCAGTTTTTCCCACTTTTGACTTCGAAATATGCTTCGCGCCACAACGGAAGTGGTCCAAGAATGGTGTGTTTTGTACATTTTGACTTCGAAATGTGCTTCCCGCCACAACGGCGTGCGCTATTTCGACATCTCAAGTCCTAAAAGTGTTCTGAAGCTGATGTGTTTTGCGCACTTTGACTTCGAAATGTGCTTCGCGCCACAGCGGCATGCAATTTTTCACCTCTCATTTGGCCAGATGGCTCCGCACCTGCCGCTTTAGCGAGCCTACTTTTCGACCCTCCGCACCCACTTTTTTTTGAAAAACACAATGTTTCGCGACTTTGCTACCTTTTCGCGCACCTGCATCTTCTATCTCCTGACTCTTTCTCTTCTTTTCTTCTCTTGTCTGACTCTTCCCGCCTCTGCTTTTCCATCTGTCCATATTGTCGAAAGTTTGGCTTCTAAACTTCCTTCGATAATATAATCTAATATTTAAATATAATAAATAATATAAACGATATATATATAATGTGTATAATATACAATATATAAAATAAAACAAATATATAAATGTATATTTAATATATAATATATATTATATTATATATATATATATATTGTAAAATAAAGTATCTATAATATACAATATATATATATATTGAAAATATCACATATATTTATATATCATTTATATTATATGTAAATTATGTATATTATATGCAATATATTTTTAAAAATGTAATATGTTTTCATATTTTCAAATATATTATTTATATTATATATATATATATTATAGTTAATTAATATAAATTCACATATAATATTTGAAAGAATATATATTCTATATAATTATATATTTTATTTAATATGTATATTTAGTATTCCTCTTACAAAATGTAATATATATATAGTACATAATATATATATATGGTATCAAGAATATATAAAATTTAAAATACATAATATTAAATACTCATATATATTATATACAATATATATATATATACAGAATATACAATAGTTATTATCTATATCGTAAAAGTTTAATATATATAGAATATCGAATAATTAAAACGGTATAATATATATTTAAGTATATGTATTTGAATATCAAATATAATATATATATAATATAAAATATAGATAAAATCAATATAACCAAAGGAAGTTTAGAAGTCAAACTCCCGACAGTATGGACAGATGGAAAAGCAGAGGTGGGAAGAGTCAGACAAGAGAAGAGAAGAAGAGAAAAGATCAGAGAAGAGAAAGAGTCAGGAGATAGAAGATGCAGGTGTGCGAAAAGTACCAAAGTCGCGTATCACTGTGTTTTTCCAATGACTACACCACGCTACACTACACTAACTACAGCTACAACTGCAACTACACTACACTAGACTACAATACACTACAGCACACTACACTACAGCACGCAACACTACAACACACTACACTACATTACATCACGCTACACTCATTACACCACACCACAGCTACAACTGCAACTACAACTACAACTGACTAATTACACCGCCTTACAATTACAATTCCACTATGCTACAACTACAACTACAGCTGCACTACACCACACTACATCCAGCAGTTGTGGGTGAGGTGACCCCTGCAACCATTGCAACCACTCCAAAAAACACAACTCCAACCACTTTTCGGTCCATCAGTGGATTCGCACTGCCTATCTTTGAAACTTCCGCCACTGCCTCGTAATATTTCTAAAACAACAGAGAGATATATACAATATAATGTATTTAATATATATATATTCTTTATTTACTGAATATAATATATAAATATACAATAATATATATATACATATATAAATAATGTACAATATATAAACCTATATATATATATTTAAATACAATATATAATGTATATAACATGCTATATACAATATATAATATATAATATGTTTATATAAATATTGTGTAATATACATTGTGTTTAATTTATAATTTATACCATAGAATTATATATATATATATATGTATTTTTAATTTTTTTCTGCTTTCATTCGACTTGTCCAAGAGGAACCAGACTTCTCCAAGTAGCACGTGGCGAAGTCATGACCGAGGCTACTTGTCCAGCTCTGCGAGCCGGCCAGCGGTTGAGAAGTCCTACGGTCAGGTGTGGCGATTGTGGCGATGTTCTCAAAATTGCAGAGGTCTTATTGGATCTGATTGGACAAAATTCGACAAAATTGGACACTTGTTAAAATGATTGTAAATTGATCATCGACTGACAAAGGTCTTACGCAAACAAATTGTTGCGAAAACTTTACTGAGTTACTGCATTGAATGAGAGTTATTCTGATATAGTGGCACCAAAGTTGGGCAACCTTTTGAAGAGTCGAACTTCCATTTCAACAAACACTTATTCATCAATGCAGAAATGCTTGGGAGTGGCACAATTTGGCAATGTATATTTGCTGCTGCCACCGAACAAAAACATGGTAAAAACGGTGTTTTCTAAATATTATTTGGTTCGGGTGCTTGTCTTGATTATGCACACGGCAAATGCTCCAAGAGATGGGAGGCATCCAAAACAACAACTCTAAAGCACACTTTTCTAAAAAAAATGAGACAAATCTGCGAGAATTCAAAAAACCAAAACGCGTTTCAGAGATGAAACCAGACACACAAAATGCAATGACTGCGATGCAAACCAGCTGCGCGTGCATGTCCACCGACCTCCAATCGGATGGAAAACGGCAAAATGAGTTCCGCCACACCTTTGTTGCAACAAGACCAGTGTGCTTGCCAAGTTTCATGCCCAATCTGTCAACACCAGTGTATGGTGTATGAGAACACCTTGCCTTGCAAGGTTGACGGGATGTCTTGAATTCCTAAGAACCTGAGAGTCTGACTTCCTTCGGACAACACAGGTTCGCGCAGAAGCGCCACCGCAAAGCAGACAATCTTATGAAGGGTGGGGAATCTGAGTGCTCGGTTATTGTGGTGTGGCAACCGTCGTAGCTTTTCTGGGCTTCTAAAACTGTGAATAGCAGGGACTATGGCTGGCATGGCTGGCATGGATTTTCGCCAAGGCCACATGCACCTCCGGGCTACGCCCCTGAGCGTGGCACGCACTATGAGACCGAGCTACCGTCCCGAGGAGGCACCCGTTCAGCCGCGGCAAATGAGAAGACTACACAACAGTGACACCGACAGTGACACTGACAATGACACTAGCGATTTCTAGCAATCACCACTGACTCAGTGACAATGAAAGGAGCAAGGGCTGGAAGAGATTTCATGCGATTTGTATGAAAACATGATCTGTCAAAATCTCTCCAACATCTCCGACCTTTGACGAAAGAGTAAAGAGAAGATGTTGTGATAACCATCTAATGTAAATTTCTTTTCTGCGTGGGCCTCCCATGCCGTAGTTTGGCAGTTCTCATTGCGGGAGGTGCTCGCGAAGATGTCAAGGGAAGTGGGTGAGAATGCTCAGGGTTGGGAAGGAAGCTCAAAACTTGGCAGCGGCAAAACTATGTATACTGTATAATATATATATATAATATTTATATATATATATATTATATATATATAATATATATATATATATACATACACAAATTGGGGGTGTATATGTACAATATAATTCAGTATAATGTTTTCGGATCAATCCTATTTTTTCGACGACAGCTGCCCCTTGAATGCCTTCCATTCCACACACGTTGCAACATTTTCCACCAGTGCGAAAAACACACATACTTGAAATTTATTGAACCTGTTTTTGCTGATTTAACAAGCCGACAATCTTCCAAAATACGCTACGTACCAGCCTCTGGTCTCACATGAAACCTCTGAGGCTTGGTCCCCGACCGCCTGGTGCAATGGAGACCAAGGACTTTAGAATGTAGCTGAGTCTGACATCGACTTTGAAATTCAGCAAAGTGAAGCTGAGATGGCCCAGCATGGCACAGTCGAGCAAACCAATTCTCTTCATTCTTTTCTCTCTGAGCACCGCTGACTCATTGTGCCCAATGAGCTTCCACTCAAATTGCCATTCAGGAGCCTGCTGCGAACCTGTCAAATAGACAGGTGCCTGTGTGCACGATAAATTGTTTTTGTACTGCTTTCAGAGGTCAGTTTCCTTTGATAGCTTGCAGTCCCTACATCAGTTTGCACAGCCATTCATCATCGGAATAAGAATGAGAGTGCCCACGTGATGCAATATTCACTGTTTAGGCCCTTAGGCCCACATTATTTGCCAGACGGAATCATAGACTCTTGTGGTTGCCCAGTCTAGCAGCATGCTGCCTTCGCATTTTTTTTTTTGCGAGTCAACCTGTATTTATCAGGACCGCAGTGCGCATGGCTATTCACCAGGCCTGCTTCTTTAAGTTCAAAGTGTAGTTTGTTCATGCGAAGACTTTGACACACGGCCATTTTCAAAGTTGATAGGTTGAAAGCCATGAATGAAAAAGGAGTGCTTTTTTGACTTCCACACATTTTACACGACAACACTTTCCATTGTATGACATGCAGTGGCGTACATGTGTAGTTTCCAAGCTGCGATATGTTGTAATCCTCTCAGGCGAGGGCAAGGGTGCCCGAGTCCCTGAGGCAGGAAACTTGTCACAAAGTGGCCTGGCTCTGGACTCCCCTGAAAAGATATTCGCATACATTCGGAATCATTCGGATATGCTTTCCTCCCCAAAATAATTGCAATTTCGATCCTCAAAACTAAGAGACGCATGAGGAAGTTGGACACAATTCTGAATGAACTACTACTTACCAATTCTGTGTAGACTTTCCAAACTCGACTTTGAGAATCCGTTTGTGTCCCAGCCAGGCAACTGGACCAAGCCATTTTGGCGCTGACAAAGGCCGAGGCTGGGATCTAAGACTGGGATCGACTAGGAACCCTCACCTGAGTCCGGTGGATGGAAAGAAGACAAAAAGAGTGTGTCAAGATGTGTCAGTCAGTAGCAGATTTGGATTTTTGCCCCTGTCAACTTGTTTTTTTCCTGTTTTTTTTGTTCTTTCTGTTGTCATTATATTCGGATATATTCGGCATGTTTGCAGAGCGTATGGCGGGCAGGCCGTGGTGGCAAAGGTGGGCAAAAACAGCCCCTCCACGAGGCACCGCAGATTCGAACGGAGGGAGAGGGCCGTGGGCCGCAGCATCATAGAATCCACAAGATAGATCCAGATAGAATGCAAATGCAACGCTGATTTCGGTCCAGATTGACTCTTTCTTTTTGCTGACAAGAGTAAACTATGCATGTATATAGAGCAGCTCATAGAAAAGGGCTAGTGGGAGCTGCGCACATGTACACCACGCCACCTGAGGATAGAGACAGGCACGGGTTAAACCGGGTTGCTGAGAGACCAAATTGGTAATAGCAACTTTGCAGAACTGAAGAGATCAAAAGGAAAGTATGGACAGAAGGAACTGGGAATAGAGCAAATGCTGCAGGGCTGAAGTTGACAATGCATGGAGTCGCGGAGGCAGAAAAGGTTGGTACAGGAATGGTGAGAGCAAGGCAGAAATCACCTGCAGTGAAACGCCCCAAATTCAGCTAACCAGCAAAAACATGTGGATAGTAGCTATCCCAGAATTGGATGATGGGTAAAAGTACAGGAGTCACTGAATCACTGAATGACCCATATTCTTAGCGTAACATCTAGTAAAAACCATGATTTCAACAGTAAAAAAATCCCATGGCAACCAACCTATTGACAGGAACCTCTAACTTGACAACTTTCCGGAATCTGGCTAGAACCTGGGAACCTGGGATTGAACCAGGAAAAATGGGGATTTATCCAAACACAACGTTGAGATCATATGGTTGTAATATTTGGGTGGTGAATAACCCAAACTATAGATATATCGTGATATATCCACCATAAATGGCATATGAAGCTACTTATTTCAAACAGCGTGGCCAAGCTTTGGGGGCATGGCCTCTTCTCTTGCCGAGGTTCTTAAGCAACACAAGAAAGCTGAAGAAGCAATCGTCAAGCAGCGATGACCGGCTTGTTTGCAAATTGGAATGGACAACTTTGATTCTCCCAGGAGAATGAGAAGCTGGAGATGTGGACTATTCTGGAATTCAGGAATTCAAATACTTTGAATATTTCCAATATTTCCAATATATTTCCAATATATTTTCAATATTTCCAATTTGACAATTTTCGTGCCCCCAGTCTTTCCCGGACATTACGCCGAGATGCACACGGGGAGACAGCGCTGTCGCCAGGATGCGCAGCCAAGGTTCTGCTGCGATCAACTCCCATGACCTGAGAGTTCAGCTCCCAGGGCCAAACTAAAAAGTAACATCTAATTACCCCAAAACACAAAATCACAATAATATATATATATATACATACATATACATAATACATGTATTATATGTATGTATATATATATGTATGTATGTATGTATGTATGTATGTATGTATGTATGTATGTATGTATGTATGTATGTATGTATGTATGTATGTATGTATGTATGTATGTATGTATGTATGTATGTAGTATGTATGTATGTATGTATGTATGTATGTATGTATGTATGTATGTATGTATGTATGTATGTATGTATGTATGTATGTATGTATGTATGTATGCATGTAATGTATGTAATGTATTGGTATGTATGTATGTATGTATGTATAATGTATGTAATGTATGTTATGGTATGTATGTTATGGTATGTATGTTATGGTATGTATGTTATGGTATGTATGTTATGGTATGTATGTTATGGTATGTATGTTATGGTATGTATGTTATGGTATGTATGTTATGGTATGTATGTTATGGTATGTATGTATGTATGTATGTATGTATGTATGTATGTATGTATGTATGTATGTATGTATGTATGTATGTATGTATGTAATGTATGTAGTATGTATGTATGCATGCATGTATGTATGTATGTAATGTAATGTAATGTGATGTAATGTATGTAATGGATGTAATGTATGTAATGTATGTAATGTATGTAATGTATGTAATGTATGTAATGTATGTAATGTATGTAATGTATGTAATGTATGTAATGTATGTAAGGTATGTAATGTATGTAATGTATGTAATGTATGAATGTAGGTAATGTATGTAATGTATGAATGTATGTATGTATGTAATGATGTATGGTATGTAATGTATGTATTGTAGGTATTGGTGTATTGTATTGTATGGATGGAGGGTGATGGGATGGGAGGAGGGGATGGGAGTGGGAGGGGATGGGATGGATGGTATGGGATGGTATGGGATGGTATGGGATGGTATGGGATGGTATGGGATGGTATGGGATGGTATGGGATGGTATGGGATGGTATGGGATGGTATGGGATGGTATGGGATGGTATGGGATGGTATGGGATGGTATGGGATGGTATGGTATGGTATGGTATGTATGGTATGGTATGGTATGGATGGTATGGATGGTATGGATGGTATGGATGGTATGGATGGTATGGATGGTATGGGATGGTATGGGATGGTATGGGATGGTATGGGATGGTATGGTATGGTATGGTATGTATGGTATGGTATGTATGGTATGGATGGTATGGATGGTATGGATGGTATGGATGGTATGGATGGTATGGATGGTATGGGATGGTATGGGATGGTATGGGATGGTATGGGATGGTATGGGATGGTATGGGATGGTATGGGATGGTATGGGATGGTATGGGATGGTATGGGATGGTATGGGATGGTATGGGATGGTATGGGATGGTATGGGATGGTATGGGATGGTATGGTATGGTATGGTATGGTATGGGAGGTATTATGGGAATGGTTATTGGGATGGTAATGGGATGGTCTGGTTGTATGGGATGGTTATGGTATGGTATGGTATGGTATGGTATGTAATGGTATGTAATGGTATGTAATGGTATGTAATGGTATGTAATGGTATGTAATGGTATGTAATGGTATGTAATGGTATGTAATGGTATGTAATGGTAGTAATGGTATGTAATGGTATGTAATGTATGTAATGTATGTAATGTATGTAATGTATGT